AAAAAAAAAAAAAAAAAAAAGAATATCATCATCTATCTTCCTCTCTATTTCTTACCATTACTTTGTGTGTTAGATTAATCTGCAATCACATTAATTTCTTTCTTGCTATTGACATCTGGATTTTTCAATTATGGTGACAATGTTTATGTGCAATAGCATTGATGCAGTTTCAGATCGAGATTTTGTGCTGGAGCTTCTTTCTGCTAATTCCATCACTGCCGTCCATCTCTCTCGCCTGGGCGAAGAATGGGTATTATGGGCATCTGAAGAATTTGGCTTCTTGACCCCTAGTGATTCTGTTTCCACTGGAAGCAGTATAATGCCTCAAAAGAAGAACCCAGACCCAATGGAGCTTGTTCGTGGAAAATCTGCTAGAGTCATAGGGGACTTAGTTACACTTCTTGTGTTGTGCAAGGGACTTCCTCATGCGTACAACCGGGATTTGCAGGTAAAGTGCTTTCCTGGAAACTCTGCACCAACGATAGATGGTCAGAAAAAATCCCGTTAGCAGTTTCACTTCTTAGGAAGTTCCTGTTACACCACGTCTCCCCTCTGAATGCACATATGTATATACATCTTGACAATATTTTCTGTGTTTGCATAATTCTCACTTTTAGTTATTTTTCCTCGTTTTATGTTAAATAGGAAGATAAGGAGCCCGTATTTGACAGTGTCAAGACAATAGTTGGGATGCTCGAGGTCTCAGCAGAGTTTGCACAGAATGTTGCCTTTAACCGAGAGAGAATACAAAAGGCTCTACCGGCTGGTCATCTTGATGCCACTACACTAGCTGATTACCTTGTGAAAAAGGCAAGTGATTTTTGGATCCTTGACTTCTACGTTTTCCCTTGTTACTTTGATCTATCATTATTAGTGGCTTTCTAAAACTACAGTCCTGTCAGGAGATAGATGACAATTGTAAAGGAAGTAGTTCTTATGCTGAAGTGGCTTTTAGCCCATGACAGAAGGAAACTTTTGCCAAATTTTTCCTAATGAATCAATATCTTTTGGCTTTACTCAAATTGAGGCTTCAGTTCAGATAATGGAATACGAGGTTTTCATTTGGAGTCCCCTTTCAGCATCCTCTAGTATCCAGAACGTCTTTTACAAATTGTGCATCAAACATAGGCCTTCCTTTTCCAACTAAGAGTAGCCTTGGCATTTTGTTCCCCTCGTGGATTTACAAATTAGTACATACCTCTGGGTTGACTAATAAACTCGTCACTTGGTAGAACTAGTTGGTTCTTTCCTAGTTTGTTGCAGCAGTTAATTATTTGTAGAATAAGAAATCCTTCAGCTTAGCTTTTCTCTCTTAATGATGATGAAGTTGGGATTTTTCCTGCAGGGAATACCTTTCAGAACTTCTCATGACATAGTTGGGAGGTCTGTCGCTTTGTGTGTTTCCAGAAACTGCGAGCTTCAAGACCTTAGCCTTGACGAGTTGAACAGTCTAAGTCCGGTATTTGACAAGGATGTCTACGAGTTTCTGGGGGTTGAAAATTCAATAAAGAAATTCAGATCATATGGCTCCACTGGTTCAGAATGCGTTGCTGGTCAGCTTGATTACTGGATTGATAAGCTTAATATCAGCAGAGAGAGTTAATTTTGGAGAGCTCGTCGCAGCTTGTAAGAATTTTGGAGGCCTTGGTCGAAGAGCGATCATAGCTACTGTTTCCCTAACAGAATTTTGTAATCTCACTAGAGATGTATTTATGTGATTATCTTTCACTTGAAATACTAGTAATTGAGAGCAAGCAAAAAGAATATTGAATTATTGGAAATCAGTAGAGATATAAAAAGAAAGTAGAATTTTATTACCGTATGAGATATAAATTATTGGAAATCAGATTTTTTTTACAATACTTCACCATGGATATCTATAGTATCAGATAGCAAGAAGTCAAAACTACAAAATTTATCAGATTACTAGAAATCAGTCTAACTTCCCTTGAGATATGTTACGAACATTGATTATCCAGAACTTGTTTTTAACATGCACAAAAACTAGGTGTTATGTTGCTTCATGTGAAATAAAACTTGAGCTTCTTCACACTGAAAAAACAATCAATTTCACTTAAATATTGGAGTAAGTTTGGAGGATCACTACAGAGACGCTCTTCAGATTAGAGACCTCCCAATCAATTGAGGCAACTCCTTTTCAGGTTAGGAAAAGATTAGCCATTAAAAAAGAAAAACAAGTGGCAGAACATCGTGATCAAATCAACCTATACATACAATTTGAGTCGAAAAAATACAGAACTCATTCACTCAATTTTCTTTTCCATCCGATGTGTTTGCCGGCCGGTGAGGACTTGTAGCAGAAGCTGGATGTGTTATCTGGTCAAATGGATCACTAGTCTCAGAATTCCTCTCTCTCAAAGTGTTGTTTCCATTTGTTAACGCAGAACGCATGGATCTAGGTAGTTTTAATGGAGAAGTACTATCAATCTCATTAACCTTGTTTTCTGTTACTGATGCATCAGCACTGCCCGATTGGGATGGTTTTATTGGGGCATCTGCATTACTTGCTGTAGGAGCAGGAACAAGTTGGATAACAGATTTCCCCCATTTCTTCCGCTTGTCAGGTTTTGGTGCTTTTGATTTCGCCTGTAGGATTGCAAAAGTAAGAAAAGGTAAATTGCAAGAATCCACATTATTCTGTAGAAGGAACTTGAATACATGCTTCTAGCCAAGAACAAAAACTGAAAAAAGAGAGTTACAGAATTGCTTACCAAGGTGTTTCCAATATCTGATAGAGCCTTTCTTCTTGTTTCACCCTTATCCTTTGCCTCCGTAGGCTTTTCAGAAAGGGCATTCTGAAGAAGCATGGCACCTTGAGATGCCAGCATTTGACGCTTCTCAGTTTCATCAATTTCCAATGTGTTTCCCTCGTCACCTACAGTATCCAAAGAGGGCAATTGGTTGTCCTCCTTTGATACCACTCTGTTGCTGCATTTGTTAGGGAGACAACGACATGATACCCCACAGGAAACATCTTCACCCCGGCATTCACATCTAGATGTCTTGCATTCAGACTGTTTACTGCACGAACAGCATGTACCATAATCAGTGCCAGTTCTGCCCTGGTCACAGTCTGAATCCGATGTATCCATATCTTCTAGGTTCCATCCCCCACTGTACAGTAAGGAACTCCGGTTTCCCTGTAGAAAGACACATGGTTAGCAACCCCTAATTTGTGAACACCCAAAACTGATAAATTATCAAGAGTCCGAGATATATGCCTTTTGTCTCAGGTCATAACCATGACCGTCAATGTTACTTTGCACATTACAGCCGGAGTTGTTTGTCCTTCCCTTGTGGTGTTCTAATGCCAATTTCTGTAAGCAATCCAAACAAGAAAACAATTTAATGCAGGAATATGAAATATTATGCTTTTAAATTCTGTCACAATCCCAATTGAGAAGGTAAAGGTCATATCAAGAGCAGAAAACAACTCTGTCAGTAATGCAGCACATTCACCAATCAAACATCTGTAACTTTTATACTTTTCTGAAGACTACCAACTTGCACAGGAAGTAGAATTACAATCTATATTCATGTCCCCCTATTCCCAACATGTAGGAAGATACAGTATGAAGTTCCCTGTTATTCAGTAGGCACTTGTAAACGTTCTTGAACTCAATTGGCACAGACATAACAAAGTATGCTACTCAGGTCTGATTTGATGCAAATGCAAAAAGAGCGGCAAATTTAAGCAAATTAAGATGAAGACATACTTAGTATGCTACTAAGTAGAATTATAATCTATATTCATGTCCCCCTATTCCCAACATGTAGGAAGATACAGTATGAAGTTCCTGTTATTCAGTAGGCATTGTAAACGTGTTTTCTTGGTAACTCAATTGGCACAGACATAACAAAGTATGCTACTCAGGTCTGGTTTGATGCAAATGCAAAAAGACCGGCAAATTTAAGCAAATTAAGATGAAGACGATGCATTGCTCAAAAAACATTCTCCACTTAAACTCTTTCATATTCATCAGTTCCTGCTAAACAAGAGATGTATAATCCTTCAACATCTGTACTCCGTATAAAAATAGCTTACATCTCGCAAACCTCCCAGGGAAAATAATAGTGAGAAAAAAAGAGTGCAGGGACTTCAAACATAAAGACTTTCCTTATTAAAGAAACCTTGACAATATTAAAACTCGCCTTAGTAAAAGATTCAACAATTAATAAACTCAATACTTAAGGTCAAGCAAGTGCCTAGACTTGAAAAATAAATAATTATGCTAATTCGATTAAAAAATGTACTGACCATCAACTTCTCCTGCTTAATCAGTTCACTATTTTGCAACTCTAGCTGTCTCAGTTCACTCTTTTGCGACGCTAACTGTCTGACCAAATTTACGACTTTTTCCTTCGACACCATGATTTCAGCATCCTTTTCTCTGCATTCAACTTCTTTATCCCTTAGCTGGCATCTAGGGGAAACCAAGACCAAGACAACAGTTACAATCTGTTTCAGGAAAGTTAGCATCAGCAAAAACCTGCAAATTTTAAATGCATTTACCTAGAAGATGATGTGAGGTTAAATAAAAAGTTCATAATATTTTTTGCATCAGCAAGAGACCGAACTTGGTTCCATCTTCCCCTACCACTAAAGGTACGTTGTTCACGCTCTTCTGCTTCCGACAACTGTGATGCCATGGAAACAAGTGTGCTAGATGAAGTGGCAAGCATGTTTTCAAGTGCACTTATCCTGGAACATCTTACACTCGGAGACATGCAATCACTGTGAAAGCAATTACATAGGAGTAATTATGTTAATAAGGCCATACACAATATAAATTCAGAACGAATGCAGTTGAAAGAAATTACTGCCATTAAAAGTTTTACCTCAAGTTTTGCAACTTCAACTCTGCAACCTCATTGGCCATTCTTGATCTCCTGCAGTTCAAAATATCACATAAAATTATCAAAAGAAACAAAAGTTGCACTGCTATATCTAATTTTAATGTTTTGTTTTATTAGTTTATTTATTTAATAAAGAGCACTGCTATCTCTGATATCCAAGCTATGTAACAAATACTGAAGAAATACCACTGCTAATAGAAATATGGAATATGAAATAGTGTGTTGAGAAACTGAATCCCTGAATCCTTGGTGTCAATGCTATAAAATATACTACACTATGAATCTAACTTTTATATACTGATCTATAATCACTAAATGAAATTTATACAAAAAAAAAAAACATGAAATATTCAAAGATCATAGCCATTGCTGAGCCTTCATATCCTGCACCAATCTTGGCAAGTTAAGACTTGATATAGTTTCCAAATGCAGAGAGTAATTGACTGAATATGACTGAATATTTTTTGACAAGGAGAGAGTAATTGACTGAACATAAGTAGAACAATATCGGACTACCAAGAAGGAGCTAAGATCGTGTATAATGGTGAAGTGGGTGGTTGGTAAGAATGGAATCTTGTCCATTTAGATACCCATGGACAGAACAAATACAGGCCAATTCAATTCCTGTTTCCCCAACAAAGTAAGAGATCATCTTGGTATTACTATGTGATATGGGTGTTAAGTAAAAAGAAAACAAATCCCAGTCCCAACGATCATCCCATGAACTTTACATGATAAACCCAGACATTGCACCACTCACCAAATGCTAGCTCTCAGAAACATAAAGATGTCAACTGTCCTAACTGCCAAGTTGATTATTTTTTAATAACCGAGAAATCTGTTTAGGGATAGGACCAACAGCAGCCTCAGAAACTCGGGAATAATGAATCTGCCCCTCTATCCTTCTCCACTGCACAGAACTCGAACCTATGACCAAGTCACAATTCCCTCAACCCTTGTGACCTGAACTAAGCCCTAGGGGCCCTAACTGCCAAGTTGATTGATCACTTGTGAACATTTCAAATGCTACAACTCCTAATGCTACTATCTCTACCATCACCTTAGCTCTAATTTACAACAACATCATCTAACATACCAGCTATATTCCCACATGTGGGGTCTGGGGGTAGTATGTACGCAAACCTTACCCCTACCTAGTGAAGGTAGAGAGACTGTTTCCAATAGACCCTCAACACCTTAACTCTAATTTATACACCTATATTATGCATAAGTCATTGATGTCCTGATTGCACCTTCCCACTACAGGAGGATTTCGAAGATGCATCAAATGGTGAGATCAGCCAGTAGTTGATTGATACTATCCAAAAAAAATGGATTCCCTTAAATGCAAAAGATTGAAAATAGTACATGCATACAATCTGGGCAGAAAGGAAACAACCTAAAAACTTTCAAGTGCTAAATAGAAAAATTTGACGGTTAAACCCAATAAATAATAAAAGGGTCTAAGATTAAAAAAGTTCACAAATTATCATTAAAGCCTCGTTAGTGATAATTAGTGTTTTTGTATGACAAATTCATCCAATCATAAAGAATTGACGAACTTACTCTTGCATCTGACGCTCATATTTGGATCGCACTTCATGCACCCGTACAGTAACTTCAAGTTCATGTTCAATTGCTTGCATCAATGCCTGTATTACAAAACAAATAATTAACTGGTTGCAAAAGCTTAGGTTCCCAAGGTCTTTGATGATAGATTCTATGAACAAGAAGAATGGACTTGTAAATTCTCTGTAGAAAGATTTGAAGATAGTTTTAAATGGCAAACAATTTATGATGAAAAACATGTTCTGGGCACCGATACCTGGAATCCTGCGGCACTAGCAGCATGACCTGCCATATCACGTGATGTTTTTCGAGACTCTAGCAACTCCTTAAGTCGTTTACTGGCCATTGCAGCCTCTTCAGTTTTCCGCTGCAACA